TCCTCTAACCATCTCATAACGGTTTCCAAACCACTTTTATCGGATGTAAAGTAAAAGCATGGATGGTTATGTAAAACGTCTAAAGTTTCTAAAGAGTCTCTCAAAGTCCAGTCTACTTGGTATTGAAAATCCCATGTGTTATAGAACGGCGGGTCCACTATAAAGAAAACATTTTCCTTGTCTTTATATTTTTCATACAACTCTGTCCAATGACATCTCACAAACTCTATACCCTCAATATATTTTTCTATGTCCTCTTTGAAAACATTTGTATAGTTAAGATATAAAACTTTTGACATAAGTGTTTCAATGTCATGAACTCTTATAGAACCACTATACAATAGTCTAGAAGATATACTATCCCAGTCAATATACTCTGCTTTTTTCAAAACCTCTCTGACAGTATTTTTCTTATCTAATGGTATACGTTCCATCTTACCTATAGGTATCTTTTCTTTTAACTCTTTCAATATTTTGTTTGTGTCTGGTATATGTTTGAGACGGTTCATATAGTTGTCGAAGTCATTGCATATAATCTTTGAGTCAGGAAATATTGTATGGCACAAATGAGATATATAGAAACTTCCACCGAACAAGTCTACAAATGTTAGACCATTCGGTAGTTTCTTAAGTTCTCTCAATAGAATATCTTTACATCTACTCTTATTTCCAAAGAAGGGTAACGGTGGTTTTGTAAAATTCATTTTATATACAATAAAAATGTTTTTTCCTGAAAAGTGACAGAAAAGTGACAAAACATGTACGAAGAAGTCTTGAAAATTCAAGAGGGTAGAAAAGAGGTTAGAAAAGAGGTTATATCTAACCTTCTACCCTAAACATTATTTTTGTCTGATTTTACGAAGAAGTCTTGACAAAACATGAAAACATATATAATTTGTGAAAAGCTCCTGGAAGACCCGTATATAAGAACTTCATTTATACTAAACATCTTCAGGGCTAGAAGGCACGAAGTGCCTGGAAGCCCCACTACCTTTTTTTTTTTTTTTTTTTTTTTGATGTAAAGTGGAAAATTATAGTATAACTTATATTGCTGATGACTCGTAAATGGACAAAATATATTTTATTCGAATGGATGTTAGTTTTTATGATATTTCTATTATACTATATATGTCAAATCATTGTATAATATATATATAAGATAAATAGCCCGAATTTTTTTTTATAAAAAAAGTGTTTTTTCAAATTTAATAATAAATATTTTATTCTGCTTATAAATCATATTGTCTTGTAATATTTGATAAAATTATCACTGAATTCTTAATTAGTTTTTTAAAAATATCAATTTTGATTTATTGGACTTGAAAATATTTTATTTATATTATAAATCATATTATCATTTAGTGTTTATCAAAATTATGGTTCTTCGTTTTGTAGCTATATTTTGAATGACAATAGAAAAAAAAATACTAGAAACTAAATATGTATTTAATTTTATAAGTAAAAATTCACATAATGATAATATATTTGTGAAGTTTATTTGAAGAAACGATTTTTATTAATTCAATTTTCATTATAGCATTATTTAGGTGAAGTGCTCTCAAATTGTGAGCCAGACAAATGTTTAATGGCTGCAATAAAGGAACATAGCTCAGGTGCGTTTGCATTGAATATTTATCGTTTTGATTTCACAAAACATCGTTGCGTTTAATCAAAAATTTGATTAACTTAATAAATTTAAAGATTAAGCGATCTCATTTTAACACAATCGGTAAATTCAATACGTCTATGAAACAAAGCCATAATTTCTCGTAGTATAAAATATTTGATAAAATTTTATCGCTTACAGAGGTGGAATTAAAGGGTGAGAGATATATAGATAGACTATATATCTCTCACCCTTTAATTCCCTATACAAAGTTCGAAAACTTGGGTGCAATCAGATCTGATTGCACCCAAGTTTTCGAACTTCATGTAAAGAATTGCTTGCTATGATGTACTGATCATGAATCAGTACATCATAGCAAGCAATTCTTCATCTTAAATATATTTTTCTTAATCAATACATAACTTGTTCGCAATTTGGTTTTAGACGCTATATTTTAATCTAATTTCGATTTTTTATAAAATCGCGTACTTCTAATAAAACGCGATTTCAAAAACAATCGCGATTTTTTTCTGTTCGCAATTTTTCAGAAGTTCGCGATTTTATAAAAAATCGAAATTTTTCTTTGCGATCGAGATTTAAAAATTCGGTTGCGATTTTGCCTAAACAAAAATGAAAAAGATAGGAATAGCAATGAATAGTGATGTGGGTATAGAAAATGTAAGAGATATGAAGGTCAGGTGTGTGGGGCTTCCAGGCGCGTTGCGCCCTCTAGCCCATAAGAAATTTTGCCCAAGACCCAAGAGGAGGACCGAACCCCAGCCGACCAGCCGGTGACAAAACCAAAACCGTTGTTATTTACATCATATTAATAGTGTCACTTTTTAAATATCACTTTTTGTGTCGCTTTTCACAAATTATATATGTTTTCATGTTTTGTCACTTTTCCGTCACTTTTCGGGTAAAAACATTTTTATTATTATATATAAATGAATTTTACAAAACCACCGTTACCGTTCTTTGAAAATAAGAGTAGATGTAAAGATATTATATTGAGAGAACTTAAGAAACAACCGAATGATCTAACATTTGTAGATTTGTTCGGTGGAAGTTTCTATATATCCCATTTATGTCATACAATATTCCCAGACTCAAAGATTATATGCAATGACTTCGACAACTATATGGACCGTCTCAAACATATTCCAGACACAAACAATATATTGAAAGAGTTAAAAGAAAAGATACCTATAGGTAAGATGGAACGTATACCATTAGATAAGAAAAATATTGTGAGAGAGGTTTTGAAAAAAGCAGAATATATAGACTGGGATAGTATATCTGCTAGACTATTATATAGTGGTGCTATAAGAGTTCATGACATTGAAACACTTATGTCAAAAGTTTTATATCTTAACTATACAAATGTTTTCAAAGAGGACATAGAAAAATATATTGAGGGTATAGAGTTTGTGAGATGTCATTGGACAGAGTTGTATGAAAAATATAAAGACAAGGAAAATGTTTTCTTTATAGTGGACCCGCCGTTCTATAACACATGGGATTTTCAATACCAAGTAGACTGGACTTTGAGAGACTCTTTAGAAACTTTAGACGTTTTACATAACCATCCATGCTTTTACTTTACATCCGATAAAAGTGGTTTGGAAACCGTTATGAGATGGTTAGAGGACATACATGACTATGAGTTTATATATGACAAGATAGAATATGAGAGAGGTCCTATAAACTGGAGAAAGTGTCACAATAAAGAAATTTTATTAGTAAGTAAATGTGGTTTGAAATAGGACTACTTGTTTTAGGTTTTTCCATTGTGTCATTTATTTATTTGACGTGGCAGAAAAGTACAGAGAATATGAAGATGAACCAATGCCTGCAAATGTTCAGCATATGTACTCGTAAGAGATATTTTTATCTAATATTAAATGGACGCACAGAACTTAGCGAATGCACAGCAACCTGGACAACCAAACCCAGAGAATATTCCAAATGAAGTTAGAATACAAACTGCAATGGCAAACTATGGTCAAGTGCCAACAGATGTACAAATGCAAACTGCCATGTCAAATGACGCTGCGTTAGGTTTGCCACCATGGTATGCAAATATGAGATGGAAAGAGTTTTATACAAACCTGAAGTGGGATATAAACAACTTTATGCAGATGACGCGAACACAGGAGTTGACCAGAATATGTTTTCTACCAGAGGAGAAACAGAATGTATGAGCTCCAGTTAAGAATGCTATGGAACTCAACAGGAAACGTAAGAGACTAGGCGGACATTAATTTTACATATAGTAAAATGGGTTTCTTCAGTAGTATTGGAAACTTCTTCAGAAGAGTTGGAAGAGGTATATGGAATGGCGTCAAAAACCGTAGGAAAAGGAGTATGGAACGGTGTCAAAATATTGGTAAAAGAGTAGGTCAGTTTGTTGGTATTATACCTAAAGACCCTGAACCAGAAGAACAAGCTCCTGTTATACAACAGCCTGAACCTGCACCACAGTCTAGTTGGCAACCAAATCCAAACACCTCAACCGTATTAAAAAATTATATTTTTATCGTTCGATAGTAGTTGTATATGAAACTAAGTTCTAAGTAAAACGCATAGTATAATGGAATTATTCTTTTTCTTCCATCTGTAGTAAACCATACTTGAAAGTCTGAAATACTTCCACTTGGTGGTTCGTATAACTTTGTAGGTTTTTTCGTAAAAGTCATTTGCCAAGCATAAGAAAGAGTTTTGGGCGCCAGAAAATGAAGCATGAACAATAATAGCATCTTGGTCGAAATATTTCATATGTTCCATTAGGGTTTTCGACTTCATAATAGTCCGGGTGTACTGGATATGCTGCAGGCTGATTTAACATCCTCATAAATCTATACCATGCCAAGTTGTTATATTTTGTAGAAATATAAACGTTTTCTCCAAGGTCTTCTATTTTATTGATTTTAACAGTTGCATTTTTCCTGTCATAAATAATATCGAGATGGTATTCTCCTTCGTCAATGTTATACTGGTTTGCATATTCAATATAGATGTCGTTTATTTTTTCTTGAAAAGCTCGAAGAGTTGTTTCTAAGTTTATAAGCAAACTAACTTGTAAAAGTTTTCCCTGTTCAAATTTCTCATACATACGTTTTTCTTTGTTATAGTATCTAACTTCAAAACCGACCGTAAATGGGAAACCATGTATGGCTTCTGAAATGAACTTCATTCTACGAAAGCCAATAGCTTTTGTGACGGATGGGTCTCTTAACCATCTTAATGGGTAGTCAAAACGATAGCCTTCATGCTTTACGGTATCTGTCTCAAACTTTTGACCGACATTAGTAAAAAGTTCATCTAATGGTTTAGTTGTAGCAACTCTAGAATTTTCTTTTTCTATTGGAAGCATATTTTATCTATAATAAAAATGTCAAATGAAACAGCGTCTATGAGAGAAATACAACACAACCGACAACTCATTATGCAAGCTCTAAATAAGAACACAACAAACTTTTCAAACTATTCTAAGATATCTGAGTCATTGAAAGGGGGTGACTTAAAACTGACAATAAACCCAATGACAGATGAGTTTCTGTTTCAAGACAATAAGAACCATACTGTCTGTATAAATCCAACAAAAGGAACTTTAAACGAGAAACCTATAAATGAACTTCTTTTGAAAGCAGATGTTGACAACAAAGCTGACAAAGAATATGTAGACGATGCAATAGCAAAAGAAGAAGAAAGAGCTAACAATGCTTATGCAACAAAAGAACATACTCATCCTGAACTAGCAGACAAAACATATGTTGACAATAAAATGTCAAGTGAAGTGACAAGAGCTGAAAACGAATATTCTAAAAAGACTCATATACATTATATTAACCAAATACCAAGTCTTAAGGAAACATTAGAGACAAAAGCAGATAAGACTCATACACATTCTATATCTGATATTACAAACTTACAAGAAACCTTAAACAGGAAAAGTGCCGTTGGACATACACATTCTATATCTGATATTACAAACTTAAACGTTAGCCTTGAAAATAAAGCAGATAAAACATATGTCAATGAAATATACCAAAGTTTGATAGGAACAAAAAAAATATTGAAACTATTGTTGGTGACTTTTCTGTCAATGAAGAAAATAAATATTTTAGATGGCAGTTGGTACAGTCCTTAAAAAATGGTACACGGCATAAACTCATTCCGAAAAATAACAATGAAATGTATGTAAGCTATAAAAAGAATGATGGTACACAAGTTAAAGTTCCATTAGACAACAACTGCTACTTAAACTTATATGGAGACGAACAAAAGAAATATTTAAGAGTTTATGAAATGGCAGATATGACATTGCCTGACCCAGCTCCAGCACCATATTATTATGACTATGGAGATGACGACAGAACACCACATGTAGATGAACAAAAGCTAACATTATATTTAGATTATTATAGATATAAAAGATATAATGCAATAGAAAAAACGAGAATAGTATATTATTATACAGATGACAGAAATAAATATTATAGTCAAGATTTTACCTACCCTGAAAACATAAGATTATATTATAAAAAATATTCTGACACAAACCAGAAGAAACCTGAAATAGTTGCACTATATTTTAAGTTCAAAAGAGACAATCCTATAATATCTCATATGTTTGATTTAATGAGCCCAGTAGGTTCTATTTATACATCTATGGAAGCAAGAGGTCCTCAAGTAATGTTTGGTGTTGGTGCATGGGAACAAATAGTCGACAGGTTTTTGTATTGTGCAAACTCTTCAAAGGAAACAGGTGGAAGTAAAACGATTTCAGGTGAAAATTTACCTGCACACAGTCATTACATAGATTTAAGTACATCTCAAGCAGGTTGGCATAAGCATAGATATTGGGATTGGTCAGGAATGACAAAAGGTAAAGGATATGATGTTAAAGACGACGTTAAGTTTGCTATAAATTGTTACTGGAGTGACACTCAGGGAGAAGGAAACCATACACATTTCGTTTCAGGATATACGCAAACAACGGGACAAAGTAAAGAATACATGCCACCTTACATGACAGTTTACGCATGGTATAGAATTGCTTAGTCGTCATTTTCAACTTCTTTAGCATATTCGTCAGGAGTTGTCTTATATTTGTTAGGAACTGTCTTTGAAAGTATACCACCTTGAACTTTGACAAGTTTGAAACGAGGTCTGGCAATAGTAGTTTTATCTTCTGCTTGCAGTGTGTACATTTTGCCATGTTTGCCTAAAACTTCATAATATTCTCTTGTATACTTTCTTCTATTTTTACGAACACGAATGTGAGTACCTGTCGGGTTCCCATTGTTGTCATAGTCAATAGTATTTTCATATGGGTCGCGTTTAGGTATTTCTATTTTTACTTTGTCACCTTTCTGAAGTTTGACGCCCGGCATTCTTTCTTGTTTGTCTCTTTTGACTAAATTATTAAATATATAGTCTTTCTCTAAGTCAGGGTTGTTTTTCATTTCTTCGGGGGAGTGGTTTCCCAAACCTTTTTGTTTACGGTTATTATAAATATTTAAAACTTGTCTCATCTTTGCCATGGAGAAGTGTCTATACTTGTCGTCATATGACATTTCATTTGCTTCACCACCTTGTGGTTGGTTTAAGTCTCTTAACATTTTTATACAACCGTCAATGACACCAAGAGCAGAATGGTTTTGGTCGACAATGAAATATTGGTTTACATTTTTTGAACGCAGATAGTTTTTTACATCATCTGATTTGAAAGAACTTTCACAGTCAGATGTCAGTTTTGTTGGATGGTATTTGTCAACGAATATTGTCAAAGCAGTTTTCACATCTAAAATATTTTTGGACCATAATGGTATGGCTTCACAGTATCTTGTGTTTTGACCAACAAATATTAACCAGTATGGAGGTCCATCTGTTCTAACTCTCGGAATGTTTTCCAAGATATCCATAAACCAAGCATTTGGTGTTGAACTAAAGATTTTTATCATGAGTGCTTTCTTTGTCGCTTTAGAAACATAGGGGTCCTTGTTTGGATTCGTCATTTTTTACCCTATAAGAAATGGGTTTATTTGGCGCATTAGCAGGAGTTGCATCTAGATTTTTACCCGCAGTGGGAACAATAGCCAGAGGTGCATTTGGAGTTGGAAGGAAGATTTTGAGTACATTAGGTATACTTAAAGAGAAAGCACAACCTATTATACAAACTGTACAGAAAGGTTGGGATGTAGCACGAGATGCAACAAATCTTATTCCAAATCCTGAAACAAGAGGAAAAGTTCAAGGATGGATGGACAATGTAGGAAGACAAGCAGGAAACTATTATAACAAAGCAAATGACTACTATAACCAAGCAGGACACTATATGGACCAAGGTGAAAGATTCTTTAACAGAGGATATAACCATGCACAACAATGGGTAAGCAATAACCAACCGCAACCACCTCAAACGTGGGGAATGTAAAGTTTTTTATTGGGATGAAATGAACAATGCAGCATTGAGACAAATGAGTTCAAGATGGATTTGTCGGCTTCCAGCATTTACACCACGTGTTTGTAAAGTTCTTCCTATACCTCAGGAAGTTTTAGACCGACTTAAAAAACCTAAACAACCAATTGAAAACAAACCAAACTAATTTTTTTACTGAGATGAAATGAACAATGCAGCTTTAAACAGAATAAGTCATGGAAGACCACCTTTTACACCACGTGTTTGTAAAGTTCTTCCTATACCTCAGGAAGTTTTAGACCGACTTAAAAAACCTAAACAACCAGTTGAAAACAAACCAAACTAAAATTTTTTACTGAGATGAAATGACCGAAGAAGTTGAAACGGTAGATTTGACACCACAAACAAAAAGTTCAGAACCATTGTCAAAACCTGTCAAAGAACTTACAGATGAAGAGAAAAATTCAATAATAGAAAGTGCCAGGTCTGGAAATACAAACCCTAACTATAAAGTCACTTTTCATAGAAATGGAACGGCTAGTATCTCAAAAAAGAAACAGACTCTCACAAATAAAATATTGAAGTCTGAAGGAGCTTTCGAGACAACAGATGGAAAAGTTTACTTCACTGACCAACAGTTCATTATAGAACATCTCATTGACTTAGAGTCGAAATATTCTAAACTTTACAACAAACACAAAAAGTTGAAAGGAAAACAAAAACAAATGGCATATGATATTTATGAAGATGTTGACGACACAACTGTTCCTGCAGTGAAGTAAAGTCAGAGGAACCGAAAAGTGACGAAAAACCGATAGAAGAAGAAAAACCAAAAACTGAAGATAAACCAAAACCAAAGTTTAGTTTCCAAACTAAACCAAGTCAACCTTCATTAGCTGGTATGGGTTGGCGTCAAAGACTTATGGCAGCAGGCGGTTATGTAAAGTAAAGAAAAAAATATTTTTTTATTTTTATAAAAATGCCCCCATATAGAATGGATAGAAAGTCTGCTAGAATAAAAGCAGAGTTACAAAGATATGGTTGGAGAGTTTCGAAGAAGTTTAAATATAGGAAGGGAAACCCATAAAAGTCTATGACAAATTGTCTGGTCTTCGCTACGAAATGGATTTGGAAACAGCACGTCCAATTATCCAAACAGACTAGAGAGGTTAGAAGAAGAACGTCTTATGGACATGCCTTTCGATGTTAGTGAACCTCAAGTTGAAAGACACGACGGCTTTGCCAGATTCTACTGGAAACATGACGAACAATTGCATCCTTTGAGAAGGAAAAAAGGGAAAAGTGAGACGCACATGCTCCCATGGAAAGAACAAGATATGCATATGAAAAGTATCGTGAAGTTAGAAGTCAAATTACATCTGGTCGAACCTTTACAGTAAACTTTGACGAAGGAAAGAACAAAGAAGGCTTCATGGGTGTACTTGCTGCAATTCAAGACGGAAATAAGAAAGGACACAATCTCAGATTGACCATAACAGATTTGGATGGTCACATTTACTATGCACATGGCAATGAACAAACAGCCGCAAAACTTCTTGACGCTTTCAAGACTACAAAGAGAAAACAAATGGTTGACTCCGACTCAGACATTTTGAATGCAATTGAAGGAATTGCAAGTGTCAAGTTCGAATGGTACCAACCTAACCCTCAAGCAGTCAGACAACATGCTGGATACTTCCCGTTCATAAATAAGTCTGACATTGACTTGACAAGGTATGAATTTACAATTCAATTGAAACAATTGTCAACGAACCTTGCATTTCTTACATGTCTCAGGAACTCTGGTCTTGTTACAGATGAGAAGATGAAGTATCTTGAGTCATGTGTGAAGACAAGGTACATTCTCAGAGGTCAATTGGCAAAAATTGCACCGTTGGCAAATGTCAATATCCGAGTCAACATACCTACAGCTAAAGGTTCTTCACATGACGACTATGTTGTTGACAAAGACTTACCATGGTTGAAGATTGTAATTGTCCACAACCACTTCATGTTGAACGAAAGTCTTACAAACCCATTCTTTGGTAAAAGTAAGTGCAACATTGTCAGAGCTGTAAACATTCTTTTCGAGAAAGGTTTGTTGGAACCAATTCCAGATGACAAGCTGACAGAAACTTTTGTACCAAAAGACGAAACAAACTTTTCATTGTTAGCAAGACCAAAAGTTGTTCCAGACAAAGTTCTAGTACAAAAGAAGTACACAGTTCCACAAGGTTGGATTGTTCGGATACCAACCTAAACCAGAAGAACTTCCAATGAGGTTGCAAGAACTTCAAGATGCTATAAACAAACTTCCATTGAGACATCCAATTGACGTCAAATTGTATTGGAGAGCATCTGAGTTAGGTCAGAAGGTTTTATATGAAACAGGTTGCTTCGACGATGTTTATGAGATAACAGGAGAAGTTTCTCAGAAGATAAGAGACTCACTTGAATTTCCACAAACTGGACCAATTGGTTGCGACAAGTTCGACTCAGATGAAAAGATATACTATGTCGACCTTAACGCTGCATACATGAGGTTTGTCCAATATATTCCGACTGGAATTCCAAACGAAGATGGTGAGTTCCCGGGAAGGAACTATACAGTTGGAAAAGTCATACAACAACTGTATGATATTAGGAAAGCTTCAAACCCCAAACTTGCAATGACACTCAAATTGCTTATGAATTCGACATGGGGATATTCCATTAAGAAACCTCAAGAGATGAAGAGTAAACATTATGAGAAGGTCGACAACTTTGTTGAAAGGTTTTCTCCTTTTGTTTTGAAGTACGAATTCACTCAAGGTCAAAGTGGCTTAGTAACCACATTAAAACCTATTGTCGAACATTGGTCTTACCCTCAGTTCGCAAAAGCAGTACTTGACAACTACAACAAATTCTTCTCCGAAGTCAAATCCAAAGTCAAGGTTTACTATGAGAACATTGACGCACTCATGACGAACGAAGAAGGATACAACAAACTCATTGAAATGGGAATGGTCGGTGAAAAGATGGGCTGTTTTAAGCTAGATAAGGTATTTTCCGAAGTTCATGTAATATCGAAAAGGAAATATTGGGGCATACTTGAAGACGGCACAGAAATAAAACATTGCATGAAATAAAAAATTTATTTTTTAAAAAGTGACATTTTTTAATTTTATTTGAACTGTACGCTGAGTTTGTTGGAGAAGACCGTTGGGAAACTTGTTTGTTAGATGAGAAATATGAAATGGCATACCATTTTAAAACAATATATTTTTACATATATTAAATGCTTCAGGTTGAAAAACAAAGAACAAAAGTAGCAGATACAAAACCGTTAGACTATATCTTTACAAATGCTGGTAGGACTATTTCAGATGAAGAAATTTCATCCCGAGCATACAGGTTTGACTATCCAATTCGTTGGCTTCAAAGTCCTTCAGATGCAAAGGCAATAGGATTTAGAAGAGTTTTGTTTTCAAATAGAACTAACGCATTTATGTTCGCAGTATATTTTCATGGGCAGTATAAAGGTTCTGATGGTCTAATAGACAAATTTGACGAAATGAGAATCTTTACAGTTCGTTCAGACGAAAGTCTTGAGAAAACTCTAAATGACTTTCAAACTCAAATGAACAAATATTATTGGGAATTTCAAAAAAAATACGACTCTTTACTAAATGGAACATACTATCTGAAACTAGAATATGACAAGATGAACTCCACCGTTTCATTTCAAAAGATTGAAATTAACCCTCCAAGAGATACAGAGTTTTTATTTTGGGAAGTAGACAAACGTTCTTGGGCACAATTTCTTCGGTTACTAAACCAGAACGAACCATTACCACCAGATGGTCCATTTAAATTTATACTTCCACCAGCAGATTTGATGGTTTATAGAAACGTGTTTGACCCTCAAAATGTTATGTGTCATGCAAGTTTCAGTTCAAGCAACAATAGTTTTCTATGTATTGGTAAGGACTTTTATGACTTTGCTTCTAAATTCTACGAACCATCTAGTAACAGTTTCTCTGACTTTCAAGTTTGGTTCACAACAAATGGTGTGCAACATATTATTCCATTGTACTATGACTTTTATCTCGAATTGTCTTTCATATATAACTACGGAAAAGTGCTGAAAAGTATTGAATGTGAAGATATTAGAAAATAACATTTTTTCTAACATCGTAGAAAACTCATGAAAACAATTTATTTTTGACACTTTCACAAAAAACATTAAAAAGTGAGTTAAAATGAGATGTTTACTGAACTGGCTGAATGTCGCCTTCTGTAGTTATGTAGAATGGTTGACCAGAGAAGTGAAGAGACCCTTGAGAATTTGGTTCATTCTTGGGAAAGGGTTCTCTCTGTTTGGAAGTAGTATCCAAGGACGCTTGGCAAAGAACTTTATAATGGCTTCCTTCTTTGCTTGCTTTATGTCGTCGTAGGCTGTCCCGTCTGGTATTTGAATTGGAATTCCAGTCGAAGTCTCGAGATTCAAGGCAGCCCTTCCCGTTATCCAACCGTTAACAAGCTTGCCTTTTACATTCTGTCTGAGGAAGTCTTTAACAAGCTCGTTAATTTCAATTAGGTAAATTGCCTCGTCGGTAGGTTCGACCTCGACCATTGCTACTGTCAGAAAAAGTACTGGTACTGTCAGAAAAAGTACTGCTACTGTCAGTAAAAGTACTGCTACTGTCAGTAAAAGTACTGCTAGGAGCAGAAAAACTACTGCTACTGTCAGTAAAAAGGAAAATTTGAGAGGGTTTTCGACGATAAAGTACTGCTACTGTCAGAAAAAGTACTGCTACTGTCAGAAAAAGTACTGCTACTGTCAGAAAAAGTACTGCTACTGTCAGAAAAAGTACTGCTACTGTCAGTAAAAGTACTGCTAGTAGCAGAGATTTTTATCGTTGTGGTCCGACAGGACACAAACGAATGTCCGACGTCCCACCAACCGAGTCCATTCCCAAACCAGAGGAACCTAAAGAACCACAACAGTCTCCTCAGCAACCTCAGTTCCAGCAAGTACCTCCGAATTACTACCAATTTCCACCTCAAGGTTACTACCCACCACAAGGCTTCCCGAACTACCCTCCTCAGCCTATGCCTTACTTCCCCAACCCTTGGTTGTTCCAGCAAGCTCCACCCCAACAATTCCAATTCCAATCTCAGTCCAAGAGAGACCAAGACTTCGAAGAAGGTCTGAACCGCTTACGCAAAGAGTATGCTACAGCTCCAATTGAGAGAAAGTTGTTCCCGGACCAAAAATATAATTTAGGTGAAGAGGTGAGATTTCACCTCTTTTTTCACCTGTTTTTTCACCCTCTTGAATTTTCATGAATTTTATATATTAATGTTTTCGTTAAGCCACTTTGTGCCGTCAGTCAGTCAGTCAGTCAGTCAGTTTAGGAAAGACTTTAGAAAGTTGTTGGAAAATAAGTCCTGGGAAGAGTATTATAAGGCATTTTGTGAAGAATATAGCAACCGCCGGAATTCGGACTGTTGCTTTTTATACAAAATTCATGCAGGAAATTCTTGAGTTTTGGTTGAAAGAATACGGTGGAGCCAAAAGTGGCTCGACCTCAAAACAAGCATTTTATGAGCTTACAAAGGGTGTTATGAATGAATTCAAAGGTATTTACATACATCCTGACCTCGTTCATTTTGTTGCTAAATTCAGCAAAAATAATGTTTAGGGTAGATGGTTAGATCTAACCCGATTTCTAACCCGATTTCTACCCTCTTGAATTTTCATGAATTTCCTTAAGATAGAAAAAATAAAGTTAGTTTTATTTTTATTTATTTTTTTATTTTGTATGTAAAGACAGATATGTCAACAACAGAGAACACAACAACAATTCAAACAACAGCACCAAACTCGTTAGTCATGAATCCAACATCTATGTTAGTAGAAATGAAAAGCTTCATTCCTTCTTCATATACTTTCGAAACAGAAATACAAAGAATAAAGCAGGAACTTTTAACAAGTAATTTAGACTGTAGTGCGAAAGATGAAACAAATGAACAGTATCTTTATGAAATGGAGGACCTCATCGACCATTTGCCTAAACTACCTGAAATTCAGCAGCAAAAACTAACTATTCCTGAATTCGACGAAATTGAAGTCAAAGCAACTGACTCAGTAGAAATAAAGAAGTTCATACGAAAGGTAAATTATGAATTCCTTGGTTTTCATTGCAACCATAAAGTTATGGACAAAGATTGCGACATGGTATATAAGAACATCTCTGACATATATAAATCTGGGGAGTTTAAGACACACGACAACTTTGTTTCATTAGCTGCAAAATGTGTATGGCAGATAAGAGATAAAGACAGAAGAGGTAAGGTATGGAATGAACAGATAAAACCAACTGCTTCAGATTTAAAGAAAACTATTGACGCCTTGGTTGTTTTAGCAGGTAAGGTTTCAGAATATAACGCAAAAACTATCCAACAGCAGAAGATTTCCTTCTATCTGACGTCAAGAAGAAGTATAAAGAAACCTTCGGCATTGTTAAAACATTCGATGTACTAAAAGAAGAAATAGAAGCTACAAAACTGTTTAGGATTTCAAATATACATCGTACAATTCATGTAAAACGCTTGTGAAAAAAAGAGGTGAAAAATTAGGTGAAAAAAGAGGTGAAATCTCACCTCTTCACCTAAAATATATTTTTATTGAATTCAGCAACAAAATTCTGAGTAAAATAATTTTTAGGGCATGTGTCAAACCGTTGAGTTTTCACAAAATTTAAAAAATAACGTTTACCATGTAAAACGTTTATAAAATAACTGGGGTAGAAATGAGGTGAAAAAAGAGGTGAAATCTCACCTCTTCACCTAAAATATATTTTTATTGAATTCAGCAACAAAAATAATGAATTTCATTAGTTAGAAAAATAAAGTTAGTTTTATTTTTATTTATTTTTTTATTTTGTATGTAAAGACAGATATGTCAACAACAGAGAACACAACAACAGTTATAGTCCATGAAGCTATAAATGAAGAATACGAGTGGGTTCAGTTTAACAAACAACTCCGTCTCATTCGTTCGGTCAAAGACGATATGTACCAAATGCAAAGTATTTTGACAGCATGTTTTGCACCCGACAATAAGAAACCACAAGACTGGTTTAGGAACCAAAGCACTATTGAACTATTAAATGAAGCTGAAAATTCGACTACGAGAAATCCCGTAGTCGCAAAAACTCGAGTGGGAGAAAAACCCCAGTCGCCAAAACTCTATGAAAATCGTGAAAAATTGCCAAACGGTTTGAGAGGATATTATGTACATAGACTTCTTGTAAATGCTGTTGCAATGTGGGCTTCGCCTCGTTATGCTTGGTATATTTACAGACTTCTTGACGAAATTCATAGACAAGAACGTGAAGAGATGGAAAACAAGCTTGAAGCAAAAGACAAAAGCATACAGAAAAGAATACCACGTTCGGTACCAAAAGGAAAGGAAAAGAACTATAAGTATATGGTTTATACTGAAGAGATGGAAAATGAAGAAGATAAAGATATGGTTATGTTGCATTTAGTCAGAAGAAACAACAAAAGCTTTTACGACCTTGCTAAGATTTACAAATCTGACAGAAATTGGTTCTATCGCGAAAACTTACCGATTTCAATGACCCCAAATGAAGATGTGAAACAAATAGTTCAAGATACGTTACCTCAAACACACTATGATATGAAAGGTTGTACAATTTTTACCTTCAAAGAAGACTTACCGCTACTGAAAGAAAAAATAACAGAGTATTTTGACAACTTCAAACAAGTAGGGTAGATGAACCATTTATTTTTATTGACTTTTTACAATTTGAACTTTGTTTGCGTAGATATGAATTCTGAAAGAAGTATGAGGGTCTTGTATGACTTTGTACTTCTCCCATAGTTCATGTCTGTCAAACTTACCTGCCATGGACTCTTTCATAAGTTCCATGAAATCGTCTTCGGACAATCCGGGGAAAAGTATAATGTCAGTAAGTATTCTTTTAACATCCTTACTTAAACTCTTTGCTGTCTGTACACAAATGACAACTGAAATGTTAAAGTGTCTGAGCTTCTTAAGAATTCGACACATATCTTGTTCTCTGTTCTTTAACAAAGGATGAGAGGCGAAATCATCTAAGATAAGAAGACATCTATGAGGGTAAGTCTTCCAATCGTAAGATTGCAATTTCTTCGAAATGTATTCTATCTCTTTCTGTTTGTTTCTGAAGTGTTTCTTCTCTAATATTCTCTGCATTTCCTCATTTGGGTCTTTGAACTTAGAATTTATATACTCATTTATAGCATTATACTTCAAAACTCTTCTTTGGTACTTCTTTATCCAATCTAACAACTCAGTATCCTTTATACATACTAACTTAGACTTCTTTATAATATCTTTGAACGAATTGACGGTTTGGTCAAATTGACCAGAAGTCGAACAAATAACAACTAACTCATAGAATGGGTTCTTCTCATCTAGTTCTTGTTGTTGTGCAGCCATTTTAAGATAAGTGAAAGTCTTACCCGACCCAGGTGGTGCAATTAGACCTGTTATACCATTCTGAGCAAATAAGAACTTGTCATGTATAGGTTTTATCTGAGCATTTTCTAACTTCCTCTTGTTCTTGTTTAAAACATTCTCAAATTTTTTGTCAATGTCAGCAAACTTTTTTTCTAACATATTTTTAGAAAAATTAAAATTTTTATCTTTTAGAAAATGTCTAGCGATTTCGCTATCTATATTCGAGACAAGCTTTTTGACAGCAAAACATCTGTCGACCATAAAATCTTACATAGTGTAAGCAAGAAAGGTGAATTTGTTCTAAAGTTCTGTTTCTGGGAATATGACAAGAACCATAAAACATTACAAAGAGCAGTCTTAAAATTTGTCAATGACAGACTTGTTGACAGAGATGACGCCGATTGGAAAGATGAAGTCCAACAAAAGTTCTTAGAATGCAAAGAAGACACATGCGCTGTTCTTGAAGATGAAATAGAAAACAGAATAGATGAGCTATTAAAGTACAAAGAACTTTTACATAAATATGGTTGCGCCAAATTTGACATAACTCCACCAGAAAAGAAGAAGAGAGAAAAGAAAGAAAAGAAAGTAGAAGAAGAGAAGAAAGAACCTGAACCAGTTCCAGAGAAAAAGAAATTTGACATGTAAAAATAAAATTTTATTTTTAGAACTTTCTGGGTCAATGTCAATGTTCTCTTCCTTTTAGGAGTAAACACTGGGTTAGACTCTAAAATCTTTTTACCCAATTTACCTTGAACTTCTACAACTTTAGACTCATAATATCATAGTCGTCTGTCTTCTTTGGTTCATAGGTATAACAGTTTGTATGCTTTGCCTTCTTTAAGGTTTGAGAACCTTCTGTCAAAACTTTCTTGACTGTTAACAAACCTTCTATGTCTAAGTCTTTCAAATTTTGCACCATTTTTAGTCACAATAGCAAACTTAACTGTTCGATGTTCCAACTTTGCTGAATGAAGACTTTTCAAAATGGTAGAAGTAACATTCAAATATGTGAATGGGTCTAGTTCTTCTTTAAGTCCTGACATGTACTTGTTTACTGAGATGAATTTCGTCATCTTTTCTATCGGATAAAAATTTTTTTTTAAAATTTACTCAGAAAAATTTTCTTTGTATATACACCATTCTGAACATCTAAAAGACTTTGACATTTGCCAAGAATGTACGTTTAGAAGCTGCCATTAACCATATTCTTGACAATATTGTTTATACGAATCGTACAATGACTTTCATCTAATGACACAAAGTCAGTTTCATCTATGAACAGTTCATATACACTCTGTTTGCTTCTAACAATGTTTGTCTCTCTTCTGTATGTGGAATTTGTCTTGGATTGAACTTAGAAATATCTAATGTCATGAAATATGAGAACAAGTGGTTGTAAAAGTCAGATGTCAAAGTTTCTGCTAAGTCGTTCAAAATATTCTGTATCTTGCATATGAGAATCTGACGTTCTGACAACTACATATCTTCTGTCAGACTTTCTAACTTCATCGGAACAGCATTGTTTGAAACCATAATGAAGTTGCAACATTTTCACAAACTCTTTGGTCTTTATACTTTCTTTCAACAACTCCAACTTTGTCTGTTATAAGGACTCTTCAAAGCATCTGAGTTTCAAAACTTTTGTTGTATCTATACTTTGAAGTTCATTGCAAACTATAAGTTTCATATTCTCTATTGAGGAGTTAAACTTGCCACAGATGTTTTCTAAGTTTGTCATATTCGGATTCGAATAACCTTCTAAACAGTTTGCACAAATATCTGTAAAGAAAGTATTCTTACCAGTTCCTTGTTTTCCAATTATAATGAGAGCAGTTTCATTTTTTAGCACTTGGATGTTGTAAGATGTTTGCAAACCAACATAAGATATACTCATAAACCTTTTCGTTTCCATTGCATATAATTTCTTTGACATGGTCTAACCAAGCTTCTATAACATTTTCTTTCCATTCTACTTGTTTCGTATTTATATCCAGTGAAGATAGAATAGAAGTTTGGAGAAGGTGTATAGAACTTTATACCACGAACTGAAAAATTCTTCTAACTTTGACAATAAGATATTCCCAAGCATCTAACATCTTCATTCCAACTTGTACAACTTTTATTTTCTTAAGTTTCTGTCTACATTCTTGTTCTGAAACTATTGTTGCTCTTGGTTTGGTAAAGACAACATCCCATTCTTTCATGACATAACATTCTGGGGCAGAGTCGACATAAATGACTAAACGTTTCAAATTCTCGAGACTGCTTTGTTATAGTCTCTAAATGGACACATATTTCTGAAGGCTTGGAAGTCATAAAAATCTGAAACATCTATTCTGTACATTTTTATAAAAATAAAAAAATATTATTTTTTTATTCTTGACTTTGTTGTTCCATTTGTTGCATTTGTTGTTCTTGAGCTATTTTGTTGTTGAAGTTGTTCTTGTAATACAATACTTTCACCAGTTGCATCTTCCAATTTCGAAACTTTCTGCCGTCATTGACAAATACATAGGACATAAAAGTTTTACAGGAACAAAGTTTGCGTCAACTAATGTCAACGTTATACTTGCCAAAGTGTTTGAGTTCACTAAGGTTGAAAATTCTGCATTCGAATGAACAATAGGCAAACCAGCAGAGAAAGTATTGTTTATACGCATAAGTATCTTTTGGTCATAATAGTTTCTGTCGACATTCGAATAACACTTTGAACCTAAGTTTGAAACAATATATAAGATTGGTGTGCTTAATGTCAATGGAATAGACATTCCTTGTATGACACCTTTTCCTGTTATAGGAAACTGTTGGTAGTAAAAACCAGAAATAAGTTTTGTATTATAGCTCATATCGTTTATAGTAAACTCAGTCGGACATCCAAACATAATGAAACCTGCTCTAGTTGCAGCACATGTTACACCTGTACTTAAAGTATTAAATAAGTCAACAAAACCTGTTGGTGGTATATCTGAGTAAGTATCTTCAAAGGAGTATTTTTTACCATTCACAACAAT